TTGTTGCTCATAGAGCTCCTCACTGCACTTCTGCCCAATCCACCATCTTGTTTGTTCTGTTTTGTTTTTTGATGTACTCAAAAACACTCAGGAATATATAATAATTTAAACAACCCAAAGGCACATTATCCAAGCCTGCCTCCTGGCTGCCAGCACACAGCCTTTCTCTTTCCGTGAGTCTAGAGTCCTCAACTGTTCGCTCTCTCTCTATGTCATCATCTCTGGTGTCGCTGCTTTTCTGGATAAGGTTCCACATTACTTTCATTTTCTTCTCCCTTGAATTTTCTCCTCTGTTCCTTGAATGTAAGATTAACTCTTCCCCACTTTATGATACAAAACTTCTACCTTTACAGTTGTGCCAATCGCATTAGTCATGATAACAATTAGTCACTATTGAATCATAAGAATCTTATCTCTATATCCTTTCATCAGCCCTGTCTAGATAAGATGAAAATTATTTAGTGGGGATTCTACCTTCCCCTGTACACTCTGAAACTAAACTCCCTCTTGAAAACTTGTAAGCCAGGCACTTCGTGCCTTTATAGTCTACCGTTTTAGGTAGCCAGTCTCTAAGTTGCCTGTCCCTATCAACCCTGTGTACAGAGGGAATAGGATTGATCTTTAATGTGAAGACTCTTTCCCTCTCAGTTGGTATTTTGACCAAATACATCCATAAGCAAAGGTCAAGTTCATCAGATTATAGCAATTTACACTTGTTTCCTTTATCAAATTATTATTATTATTATTTTACATCTTCCTCTGTTTGAATTCTGATCATCAAGCCATTGAAGGTAGGTTAAATGGGTATTATCTGCAAGTTTGGGCATTCTTGTGCATCTCCCCTCACTTCATATAAGCTGGGTGCTTCACTCTCAGTTTTAGCCCTCTGTAGCTATGTCCTTGTTTATGGGCTCAGGAATCCCCAGGTCTCATCATACTTTGGACCAACCAGCCCTTCTTCTTCTCTCTCTCATCTCTAGTTCATTGAGTGTCTAGGAACATGGCTGAACTCAGCCCATTTCTTCATTGCTGCCTTTCCCCCACTTCCACTCACCAACATGTTCACCAGCAAGCTTACATGCTTGCTTACGTGTTCCCTTTGAGTTTCAGTCTTGGAAGGGGGTTTGTCCTGGAAGAACTTGATTGCTTTCCTTGATGGCTTTTTGTTGAACAACTAGCTTGTTCTAGTAGGCAATCAAACTGCCATTTTTGTTTTGGATTTTCCCTGCTGATCTTCCTTTCAAGAGGTATCTTATGTTCCTCTAGCTGCTCCAGGCTGGTCTGCTCGTCCTTTCAAGTCAGAATATCACACCTTAGAAGGTTCTGGGTGGGGCTTAGGATTCCACTTAAGGTCCACAAGAAACCTATTTCACTGGGCAAGTGCTAATACACCTTTTAGGTCTGGCTTGTATTTCTTGTGAATGTATACTAAGTAGAGGGATTGCTGGATCATAAGGTATTTCTGTTTTCCAACTTTCTGTGAAAGCCCATACCAGTTTCCAGAGTGGTTGGACCATTTTTTCATTCTCACCAGCAAAGTAGGAGGGTCCCAGTCTCGTCACATCCTCGTCAGCATTTATTGTCCTCTGATTTTTTGAACTTTGTTGTTATTGCTGGTTTGAGATAATCTCTCATTGTTGTTTTCATTTGCATCTTATTTCTTCATATGTTTGCTGGCTGCTTGAATGTCTTCCGTGGTGAAGTGTCTGTTCATGTCCTATAAACATACTTCTTGTTGTTATTGTTAAGTGCCGTCAAATTCATTCTGACTCACAGTTACCATGTCTAAGGTTTCTGAGAATACTAATACTAGGAGGCTTCAAAAAGTATATGGAAAAAAATGAAATTGAATGATGACTTGGGAACTGGCCTCTGGTGACATCAGTAGGCTTCTTGCATTTCAGACCCCAGCCCAGGCTTCTGAATCCCATGGGTCTGAGGTGGGATGAGGGATTGGCCCCAGCTGAGCTATCCCATGGTGCCAATTTGATTGAAAACTCTACAAAATGGTGACAAGGAGCTTGGTGTATGCCTTGCTAAATTTTGCTTGATACTCTTCAGGAATTAAATAGAAATGAAACATTCACATGTAAATTGATTGGAATCACCAAATGGAATCTAAACAGTTATGATATGGAATACTTGTGTGACTCCAAGGTAGCAAAGGACATGGAACGTTATCTTGTAAATGGAAAGGATGGCCAGATTCTACAAATACTTGGGAATCTGCAAAATCTCAAGTGCCCATTACTACATCAGCAATTCTCTACTGACAAATGTAATTTTTAATCTCAGGTAGATAAAGGCAAAGCAATAACTCTTAAAGACAATAATAAGCTTTGAACTTGCCACTGCTGAATACCTTGCAAAGAAGGCTAAACAAAGAATAGCTCTACAAAGATGAACTCAACAGAAGAAATAATTGTAAAGGATTGCTATTTGTTTAAAATGCTGTTGACTTACAGGGTCCACCTTCAGATTTCTACTACGTTAATGAATACAAACCAACTTAGTAAATGAAGCTATCATTGGTTGTTCATGCATAGATTGTTTCTTTTAGACATGTTATGCCACTGAAGCTGGAGTTCTTTTTTGGATAATAATAAAACCCAACAAATTGAAATCCCACCTGGTGGTACCTTCATTTGTGACTGCAACTCAGGGTTCAAATGTGGATTTGTGATTGTACAAATAGGATTGTACAAAAAAGCACACAATACTCTCTTTGTATCTTTTGAACCAGCTGGGATATAAAAATGCTTGTGAAAATTAGTAGAATGAGTTTTGTCATGGAGTTTGTTGGAGAGGTAATCACAGTGAAGAAGCTGAAAGGCGGGATTAGTGATATGACAAAGGAATCATGTATCTCTTTGATTTAGGCTATGAATCTGATTAATTCACAGTGGATGCAACTTGATATGGAAATATATCTCATTTTGTGAATTGCAGTTGTGAACCAAATCTTCAAGTGTTCAGTGCTTTCATTGGTAACCTTGATACTCATCTCCCCCAAATTGCATTATTTTCTACAAGAACCATCAATGCTGGAGAAGAGCTGACTTTTCATTATCAAATGAAAGATTTGGGAGGTATTCTGTTGACTACAGCCAATTCAGAACTGTGTGCCAATGTGGAGCTCTGATTTGCCTATGTCAGGAAAT